AAGTTAGTGCTGCTGGAAGTGTTAGACACATTCCACGTCTTTTGACGGCATCCCGTGATGATTTTAAGCCCAAATCAAATTTGCTTACGGGGATAATTTAAATCATTCTGCAAAGGACAGAACAGAAGGAAACAATGATTTATTCTGGCTCCTGGCACTTTTGATAAAACTGAATAAAGGCTATGAAGTTGAGAGTTTCCTTGTAGACTAACAATTTCTTGAGGGCGAGAAGCATTTCTTAATGATCATTGTATCCCCAGTGGCCGGTAGAGTCTCTAGCACATAATAAATGCTGTGTTTGCTGAAAGGGTGATTCAATAAAGGCACGAACATTCACAATGGAATAGCAACTTCCCTACTTGATCTTTGATTGGTGTCAGTCCCTGACAGCCCCATCCCTGTCTAGAGCAGAGTTTCTCACCCTCCATACTGTTGATATTTTAGGCCAGACCATTCTTTGTTGGGGGGAGCTGTCTCGTGTATTGTCAGATGCTTAGCAGCATCCCAGGCCTTTATTAGCTAGATGCCAGTGGCAATCTTTCCAGTCATGCTCATCAGAAATGTCTCCAGACATTGTCAAATGTCACTTGGGGCACAAAACTGCCTGTGTTTGAGAATCACTGAGTTATAGAAACTGAAACCTCACAACTTGAGGATATCTCTGTTCAACTTCTGAGCTGATGAGAATCAAGTTTGAGTATATATTAAGGGTCAGAAACACATTTTTATTCCCTAGGATTCACATTAGAATTGAGAAATGGTCCATGGCCTATATGCTTAAAATGCCTTGACGAACCCTGAGTGTCCTCCCTAGTTCAGGATGTTCTCCCAGGCCCCACTGTGTGTACTCAATCTTTATGGCTGGTTTCTGCCTTGGGTTCTGATCTGTACTCTAGTCTACTTGTGTTCTGGGATTCAAGCACAGTCCTAACCCCTGATTCTTTGACCTTGTCAGCTTCTCCTGTGGGTTGGATCTTGCTTGCAGCACAAGTCACTGCTGCCCGAGTTGCTATTTAAATCTGGAGGTTCTCTATTGCTTCTTGGCCTTTTGGCCAAGATCAAATGTAAATCTTCATCATCTTGGGGCTCTCACTGTGCAACTGCTTTGACTGTGCATTACTGCTGCCTAATAACTCCTGTTAGGGTTCCCTGTTCTCAGACAGGCACACAGATATTGGCACTGCCTTGCATCTGGACTTGAGTTTTCTGGATCCCTTGGGACAAGGAAATTGGCACCATTGGCCACCTTCCTTTGGAGCTAGTCCTACTTTTAGTTTGGTTTCCCTTGCCCTAGGACCATCACTTCTGGCCTCTTACCCTTTGTTTACCAATTTACTCAAAGTTCTGATTGTCAGCCTTGACAGTTCATTTCCTCTGTCCACATTAGTCTCTCCCCTTCACGGACTAAATGTTCAACAACTCGAGGATGAGTTTTCAGCCTGTTTGACTTTTCTGGTCCTGTTAATCAGATTCTCCCGCCCTCAGAGGCACTTCTTTTGTCTACTGTTCCTGACTGCAGAGAGCTGCTAAAGAAAGACTCATAATTAAACCCAAAGGGCCTACAAAAATACTTGTATTTCCTCCTTGGTCATTGTACATGAGCTCTGTTTTTGTTCTTCCTCTATTGCCCACCTAACTCCATTCGCTGATAGTTTTTTCAAATATATTTCTTTCTCTATAACCCCACAAGCTTTTGTTCTTTACCACAGCAGACATGCTGGCAAACTCATCTTTCTTTAGCAAGATTAAGGCTATGTTTCATCTTCATCTTAACATATCCATTTGTTTTCAATCTACACTTTCTTCTTTCTTCCAGGCTCAGCTAAAAAATGTCCTTTCTCTTCTCTAACTTACAAACTGTTCTTTCTGGGCTTCCTAACCACTTTGAGGATCTGTATTTGTTTGACTTAGAATTGTCCCCTTATATACTTGTGGGCAAAGTCCAATTACATTTTGCTTTGCCTCATCCAGAGTTGATAAAATGGAGTCTCTTTCCTTTCTACAAACTCTCCTTTTTCATTTTGCTGCAAAGGAGGAAATAAACACAATGTATTATATTTATTAACCCAGATGCCAATAAGGTTTTGGCCTTTTTCCCCCATGATACCGTGGGCATATAGCACACATTTAAATAGTAAAATTACTCATCAGTTAGTAGATTAAAGTAGTGCATGACTCTTGTTCAGCTCTAGTTATCTCCTCCTCTCAGAGAACAACCATATTCCTGGCATAGTTCATTTGTCTAGCTAATTATCTCCATGCCTGATTTACCTTAAAGCTTTCCCCCCCTCCCCTTTAATCAGTCATCAGTTTTCTTTGGTACTTATGATTAGAAACTGTTTAGCCCACGAAAAGGCCCTTCTTGTGAAATCAGTTTTTACCAATTAGCTCTTATAATAGTATTCTTAAGGAATTTGTAGAAACTTTATTTTTGCGGCCACCCCCAGAACATCGGTGTGGGTTTGCTTACAGTGAGCAAATATTCAGCTTCTCAGCTGAACAGGCTTTTTAATTCACAATATTTCCAGTAATTTTTCTTTGAGTGAATCATTCCCGCTTAGCTGCTTGGGCAGGACTCAGTGCTGGAGGGCCGATTTTTCCAGGTTTCTGGGTGAGCCGGTTAACCCCTTGTGATTCGAATGGTGCTGCATAGATCCCGACTGCCCACTCATATTCATGATCCCCCACTGCTGGAGTAGAAAATGAACTGAACATGGATTTTGATGTGGTATGTAAGATATTTCTAATATTTTAGGATGGTAATGTGGAATAGCATTAAGCATAAGTTACTGAAATTCATGAAATTTCCATGTTTAGTCTTAAACATGACAATAGTTTGAACTGAAATTATCCTTAATCTCTGCGTTTCAAGTTTATCTTCTCAAAAACAAAGTTTCTTTTAGATTAAACATTTTGTGGTTCCTTTTATGAAGTCCACTTTATGGACTTTTTTTAGTCCCCATTGTTTCATAGTTTCACTCTGATGGACCTTGCTAAGACGTTTTCAGGGCAAGCTACAGACCCTGCCCATCTGGAGACCCCTGTCTTAGAGTTTCTCATATTATCTGAGCATCAGAATTTTAGAGGTACATACCCCAAATCTTATACCATGAAAGTATATAGAGGTTAGATTTAGAGAATCTAGTTTGTACAGAAGATAAGATTAAAGGCAGCTTTTGAGAGGCAATATTTGAAAGAAAATTGGCTGTGAGTTTTCCTGAATTGAAGAGATGTGAATCCTCAGATGGAAAGTGTATTTCAAGTTTCAAGTGGCTTGAATAAAGCTACCTCAGAGCAGAAGTACAGAATATCAAGAATAAAGAGAAAATCTCAAAGACTACCTAATTCTAAAAAAGATTACCAAGAGAATTAGATTGCCAGTAGGCTTCTCATCTGCAATCACGGATTTGAGGACAATGAAGTAGTCATCCTCAAAGTCCTGAGGGAAAATAACCCACGACCTACAATCCTATTCCCATAAGTGGTTATATAAGGGCAAGAGTAGACTAAAGACATTTTCAGACACATGTTCCACCCACACATCCTTTCTAAAGAGCAACTTTACCATAAAGGCAAGAATACTCAGAGGAGACAGGAGAAGTGTAACAAGTAACCGTGAGCACAGAAGTTGAAAGATGTAGGTAAATTTAAAAAGAGCAGTTGGACCATTAAAAATAAGAATACCATCTTATGTTAAACTATAAGAAAACAAAGCTAGATGACTTTATGGGAGTGGGAAATGTTCATCTACTCTAGGGTCATTGTCTTGCTTGTTTGGAGGAGAGAGACACTAGAAGTTTAGACTTTGTTAGGAAAACATATAGCAAAGTACATGTACTTAGGAAAACCACTAGCAGAATAGAAACATCACCTATAGCTTCCACACCAACATAGAAACACCTATATTCTAACTGAAGACAGAAAAGGAAGGGGAAAACAAGACCACTAGAAACAAACAAAAAAGATGAATAAAATAAGTCTAAATATATAAAGGATAATTATTGCTGAACATACATTAAATTGTAATCATGGGTCCTATGGAGTTTTGAAGTACTCTAGATTTCCCAGAGGGTTGGCATTGTGAAAGGAAGTGACAAGAATGTGGAAACAACCTAAAATACCAGGATTATCAGAGCTGGTTCACTCTCATAACCAGTTGCCGGGTAAACGTTGAAAACTTTCTTCCTTTAATATTATTTACAACATAATCTCACACAGATTTCCAGGTTTGTTTTTTTTGTGTGTGAGTGTGTATAAACTAGAAAATAGCTTATATAACAACTATTTTCATTTACCACTGAAAAGAAGAAAAAAATACCCCTGCACTGCCTCTTCAACACCTGGAATCTGGTGTGTAATTCCGCTGCCCAGATGGCATCTTCTAATGGCGCTCTTTACAGACAGCCCATAGGTTAGGACACCAACTAGCGCGCTGCAATTTTAGAGGTTGTTGTCTGTGTTTACTGTAATTATAGAGGTATTTAAAATGTTTACATTTTGCCACTGGGAGAGGAAAAAGAGAAGGATTTGGGGTAATCGGTTGTTATGGACACATCTTGAAGTGAAATTGAAGCTCTGTTTAGTTTGCCTGTGGCAAAGTCTGACTTCAAAAAGAGCCTGGGTTTTTGGAAGTTAGATACTTATGAATATTCTACATTCAGTTGCTTAGGTTCCTAAACCAGCCACTGACCTTCATAACCCAGGAAATCAATAGATTTTGCTGTATATTTATGATGAGGCTTAAATTCTCAAAGTAATTATCTAAGTTGTTTACTTAATTAGCAGCTATCCTCTTCTTTAGAAATTATAGTATGTCAAAAAACTTTTTTTCTTAAGCTTGGGATTTTTGAACTTAAATTTGCTTTTTTGTTCTTAAGTCAAAGTCTGGCTCACTTAAGTTATGAGTGTCAGTACTCTCAGGAATCCCCCTGTCTAGCTTTCATTGCTTAGAGGGTGATACTGTGGGTCAAAGAGAAAATGTGACTTTCCCTCGTCCACAGGACTTCATCAGTGCTGAGATGTGGCCTAAAACCTAAATAACCTGTGGGTCGTCTCTGCACAACACGCCCGAAAGTAAGTGACCATTTCACCATTTAGGCACAATAGTTGTTTTATTATTTTAAGATTTAATAAACACTATTTTATTTTAATTTTTAATGTTTTATTTATTTATTTTTTAGAGAGAGGGGAAAGGAAGAAGAAAGTGGGAGAGAAACATCAGTGTGTGGTTGCCTCTCATGTGTCCCATACTGGGGGCAACATACTGGGGCCTGCAACCCAGGCATGTACCCAGACTGGGCATCGACTGGCAACCCTTTCGTTCAAAGGCCTGCACTCAATCCACTGAGCTACAGCAGCCAGGGCTAATAAACACTATTTGAATGGGTGCCACATCCTATTATTGAACAAAAAGTATCAGTAAAATTCTAGCTCATTGATTAGTTTTAGTTTTTGGCCTGCTGTCTACACTGGCCACATCATAAGAGAAAAATCATTTAGAATATCCCTGGATTCAGCCAATTCTAATTAATAATGTATAAAATAGTATTTTGTTATTAAAAATTATAGAATATTTCATACATATACAAAGTTTTGATAAAAATCTAATAGATGCTCATATTTCTACCACAAGATTTAATCATGTTTAACACAAACTTATGGCTTTTAGTTTTATCTATGTTAATATCATGTTAATATACACATAAATTATAATGTGAAATAATTACCATGTAGTATTCAACTATATAATTTATTTCTGTATTCCCCAAAGATAATATGTAGTTTTTCCCCAATTTATTTTTGCTTTCAGAAGAAGTTAACATCCTTATACACCCTTCTTAGTATGCATAGGGAAATTTTGTCTAGTATATATAACTGGAAGTGGAAGAGCTGGCTCAAAATTGTTTCTCCAGTTTTGTCAGATATTGCTCAATGTACCAACTCTCCCTCCCACCAGTACATGTAAGAGCTACCATCCTCACGTATCCTTGGAAGTATCAACCTTGAAATGTTTATCAGTTTTATGAGAGGGAATTGGTATCTCAGTTTTAATTTGCACTTCTTTTGTTACTACTCTAAGGGATATTTTTATATGTTTTATTACATTTGGCTTTCCTCCTGTATAAATTATCTAGCCATAGGCTTACTCAATTTTCTACCAAGTTTTTTAAAAAATTAATTTGTCAACATTATTTATATATCTTGGGCACCTATTTTTTTATTTGTTATATGTGTTGCAAGTGCATTTTCCCAGTACATTGTTTGGCTTTTTGGGTTTGTTTGTTTGTTTATAATATGTTCTTAAATATAGAAGTTTAAACTTTTTATGAAGTCATATTTATCAAGCTTTTTAAGAGGCTTATCCTTTTCTTGTCTTACTTGCAAAAACTTTTTTATGTTCTCCAATACTTTCTTATGAAAGTTAAAACTCTGTTTTTTTAAATTTAGGTCTTTAATTCATCCGGAGTATAATTTTATGCATAATGGAGATAACTCTAATATTGCAGTTTTCCATATGGATAAAAAATTTTTCTTGTACTGTTTATTTAATGGTCTATCATTTCACCCTTTGTCAAATACAAAGTTTCCCTATATATGTGGATATTTTCCTGGGCTCTCTATTCTGTCTCATTAATCTGTCTATTCACCCCTGCAAATACCACAGTTGATTTATTACAGATTTATAATAAATGTTGACAAGTTAGTAGGACATTATGACTTCTTTGTCTTCTATTCAAAATTGTCTTATGCATTTTAGCTTTTTATCATTCCATATGAAATTAAGAATCAGCTTCATAACACTGCTCTTGGAATTTTAAAAAAGATTTTACTCAGTTTTAGAGAGAGGGGAGGGAAGGGAGAAAGAGAGGGAGAGAAACATCAATGTATGAGAGAAATATTGGTTGCCTCTCTCACGCCCCCAACCAGAGACTTGACCTGCAACTCAGGCATGTGCCCTGACAGGGAACTGAACTGTGATCTTTTGTTTTGCAGGATGATGGTCAACCCACTGAGCCATACCAGCCAGGGTGCTCTTGAGATTTTGACTGCATTGAATTTACAAGCTAACTTGGAGAAAATTACCACTTTAATGATATTGAATTTTCTTCACAAAATGGTATCTTTTTCATTTATTTAAATCTTTTCATATGCCCTTGAGATACTAAAATATTCCATATAAATATCTTAGTTAGATGTACGCTTAGAACTTTTTGTCCCTGCACTGTCTGAATAAAATTTTTTAGAATAAAAAGAGCTTATATTTGTTAATTGATTGTTGCTAGCACATGGAAATGTTGCTAATTTTGGGGGGTAGTATATTGTCTATCTAGAGACATGTTTATTAATTCTAAGAATTTTATTTGCACCTTTCCTATTACTATGTCTACTTTATTTTCTTGTTTTGTTGAACTGTATAGGCAATCCAATAAAATGCTTTTAAAAAGCCAGGAGTAATAGGCATTCATATCCTATTTCCTTTTTTGTTTGTTTCTTGAAATTTCTTTTTTATTGAATTTATTAGCGTGACATTGGCTAATAAAATTAACTTCTGACTAAATAGCACTTCTATTGACAAAGCACTTCTATTGCTTTGTCATTAAGTATTGCTTAATATCTTTTTAGTAGATGTTCTTTATTAGTTTAGGAAAATCCCCTTCTATTCCTAGTTTGTTACAATTTTTTTTCATACAGTGGACTTACTGGAGACCTCATAAATTATTTCAGCTAAGACTTGAATCTACCTTTTTTAAAAAAAATAATGGTATATAGGGAGTATGTTGGAGCCTAAAAAACATGATAACTGCTGACTTAGACTTTAGAATCAGGAGAACCTAATTGCTAAAAAGTTTCTATTTATTAAATGCTCAGAATATGTCAGGTCAGTGTGCGTAGGCTTTGAACACAGTGGTTTTGAAGAAACAGGTGCATCAGTCTAGTGAAGTCCAAAAGCCTGGTGGATCACATAGGCTGTGGGCTGATGAAAAGTAACTGATGCTACTCACAACTATATGTGTGCAAGGCACACCTACTTAACACACTGGGATTATAAAAGTCTTGGAAATTCTTATGCAAATAGCTTGGATTAACTAGCTTGTTTGAATTCCAAAGCTGTACAGCTATTGTTACTTCTAAATAGAGGCTGGGCTGCAGTTAGTTAGGAAACCCTCTGCCTGTGTACATGTGCCTTGCTCCAGGCTACTAGGAAAATCATCAGCCCTTCCCACAGCTGTTCTCCTTCTAGTGTGTACACAGCTAATGTGTGTAGTGGAAACACACATTAAAGTGTCTTTCCGACTCATTGTTCCAGGTGTGTTCCCCACTTCAAAATACCCACTAAGAAGTTCCTTGATATGAAATAAATTCAATTCCACAAACGTTATTGACAACCTGGTTTGTCAAATGCATTGTGTGTGTCACCATGTGACATACAAGGATGAAGAAATCTGAATGACTTTGCAACCTAATTGTAACAGGGAGCCCGTGGAGACTACATTTGAACTTTTTGAGGGTAGAGCACTGTTATTTTGAGGTTGAGTTGAGTTTTGGTTTATAAAGCAAGTGGCAGGAATTAGCCTTTAGGGGAACCTTTTTTTTTTTTGTCTTGGGAGTGATTATTTTGCTTTTAGTCATGCAGATTTAAATCATGGACCTCCCTACCTACTCTTTGGGGAGCTCTGAATGCCGTGAATTAATGTAAATGTACTTTCTTTTGACTAGGTGTAAAATAATTTTTAAGAATGTAAATTAAATATACTAGCACAATTGTATACCAGTAGACTTAAATATTTTTTTCCTTTGAAATCTGAATGGAGGTTGCCTGATGGACAAAAATGAATTTTTCTTCGAGTATTTCATTGTGCTTGTGAACAACTCTGCTGTTTATGAATGGTTTCCTTTTTGTTTTCCTGAGCACACAGCTAGACTATATTCCCTAGCCTTCTTTATAATTAGTGTCACAGTGTGATTGGTATTGGTTCTTGTTAAAAATATGTAAGTGGAAGTGATGTGTGGCACTTGCAGGGCAAGGCTGTCAAGAAGTGGCTAGGCTTCCATGGTCCCTTTCTCAGCGTCCTTGGTGGATGCAGTTGACAAAGAGTCTTAAGGCTGGCAGGCCAGGATGAAAGGAGTCTGGGTACCTGAACTGCCTCTCAATGGAACACTCCTGCAGACCTGGAACATTATCTTTAAACACTAAATAAAAAGAAGATAAACTATTTCATTGAAATTTTTATCTTTAAAAATCATTTTTATTGTTGTTCCATTACAGTTGCCTCCTCCCGCCCATTGCTCTCCCCTGCCCACCTGCCCCCTACATTTAATCCTCTCCCCCCTCCACTCTTGTCCTTGTCCATGGGTCCTTTATATCTATGTTCCTTGAAAATTTTTTATCTTACTTGTTACAGCAGATCACATTACCTACCCAAATAAAATAGTGTTCTTGTCTGAACACTTCTTCATATCAAACTGGGGAGCTGGGCTTCTATCACATAAACGCACATGCCCCTCTCTCCACTAATATGTGAGGAGGTGCCTGAAAAGGATCTGAAGTCGACTTGGCAGAGCGACACATGCGTTGAATTATTGCTATTTCACACATGGCATTTTTTTTGAGAGAATCATTTAGACATTAGAAGATTTTAGAATATTATCATTGGTTAATTTCTCTGGTCTCTGAGGTTGAGACACACGCAGTAGGTAAGGAGTAGAATCTTTCTCAAGGGAGTCCGTGACTCTACTATCAATCATTCAGGGATAAGAAAGTGAATCATAGATTAGGAAAGTTGGGATTTAGTTAGACCTGGGTTTGTGGGGTGGAGAGGCCTGAAGATTTTTATTGGAGGCTGCTGGGCTTGACCAAGCAATGGAGCCCTGAGGTTTTAGGTTGAGTTTAGCTTTTTGGGTTTTATGGCTGGGCTATTTTTTAAATTTTTAGTTTTATTATGGTAAGAACACTTAACATGAGACTTACTCTGTCAACAGATTTTTAAGTGTATAATAGAGTATTGCTGCCGGTAGGCACAATGTTGTGCAACAGATCTCCAGAACTCACTCATCTTACATGTCTGAAATTTTATACCTTTGATGGTCAATTCTCCCTTTTCCCCTCTTCCCAGCCCCTGACAACCACCACTTTACTCTTTATTTTTCTGAGTCTATCTCACGTACCTTATATAAGTGGAATTGTTTGTACCTATCCTCTGTAATTGGCTCATTTCACCTAGAATAGTGTCTTCAAGTTTCACCCATGTTGTCACAGATTGCAGGATTTCCTTCCTATTTTAAGGCTAAATAACATTCCATTGTATGTCTATACCATATTTTCTATTCCATTCATTTATCAGTGGACATTTAGGTTGGTTTCACTTCTTGACTACTGTGAATAGTGCCATATAAACATGGGAGTGCTAATGTCTTTTTGAGATTTTGATTTCAATTCTTGGTATAAACACCCAGAAGTAGGATTGCTGGATCATATGGCAGTTCTATTTTTATTGTTAGTTTTTGAGGAAACTCTATACTGTTTTTAATAGTAGGTGATACCATTTTGCTTTCCCACCAATATTGTAAAAAGGTTCTAATTTCTTCACATCCTTGCCAACACTTACTTTTTAAAAAAAATCCTCACCTGAGGATATGTTTTTTCTAATTGACTTTTCAGAGAGGAAGGAAGGGAGAGAGAGAGAGAGAAAGAAACATTGATGTGAGAAACGTGGATGGGTTGCCTCTTGGACATGTCCCAACTGGGGAAAACGGCAACCCAGATATCTGCTCCAATCAGGAATTAAACCCACAGTCTTTTGGTGTAGGGGACAAAGCTCCAACCAACTGAGCCACTCAGGGGTTGTTTTTTATTTTTTGATAATAGTCATCCTAACAGGTATGAGGAAGTAACTTATGGTAGTTTTAATTTCTATTTCCCTGATGATTTATGACATTGAGCATTTCTCACATATCTATTGGCTATTTGTATTTCTTCTTTGCATATAACTACATGTTCTAATAGCCACATTGTGTAATAGTTACACCATTCCTTAAGCTTTCACTGAAATATTTTTGAAAGTCACAAACTGGTTTCAGATATAAATGTGGAGAATTAGGGAGAGGGATGCTTACTTCCCAAGGTACTTTAGTGAGCACTAAAGTGGTGTGCACACAGGGTCATCCAGAGCAGGGGCAAAGTGTAATGTTAAGAAGACTGGAGTGGAAGGAAATCAGAGCTTTCTTCAGAGGATATGTGAGGCAGTACTCTGAGAACTCTTAGAAATAACTAGGGGATCCTCTAAGAAGGTTCTTTTCCTAAAATAGGCCAGCGGGATCTGTATAATTATCATTTGGATATGAACAGCATATTTTTATTCTGTAGTCATAGACTGGTGAAAATGCTGATATATGGATGACATAGTTAAGTTTTGACATATGTTTCATTTTTACTGTTCATATCAGGACTTTCTCCTAGTCATGCCTATTAATGGGAGTTTAAAGAGACAATAATGGACAGTGAGTTTGCCACCATCTCTATCATACAATATATCTTATGGAAAGGTGGCTGTGCAGGCTCAAGTACCAAATTTGATCAGAGACAACTGACTAACACTGAAGAAGGAGATGAACACAATAGCAGGGCCATTCAGTGCAGGAAGTTGAGAAACCTGCTTGTCCAATATTTACATAATTATTGACTTAAAAAATGTACTGGTGCCATTTTTGTTTGTCTTCTCTATTTGCATATACAATTTATTTTTTCTCTTGACTTTCTTGAAATTGGTTGGGATTTTTGTTCTATGTTTAATTGTATTTTATTTCTATGTTTTATAGTTATATATATATATATACATATATATATGCTCTATTATCTAATATTTTAGTCATTACTCTTGGAATTTAAAGATGTACATTTAACAAAGTCTAAGGTGAGTGGTATTTTACTCAACTCCCAAATGGTATGAGAATCTTCATATATGTGAACTCAAATTATGCTTCTCTTATCTTACATGTAACTGTGTCTAGTGTCTAACTCTATTTTTTATACTTCATGAAATAGATATTACTTTTTTATGCTTTCAATACTAGTTTAGATTTATCATATGTTGGTCA